TTGCAGTGCCAAAATCTGATATCTTGGGGTTCATCTCATCGTCCAAGAGAATATTGCTTGCCTTCAAATCCCTATGGATTATTTTAAGCCGAGAATCCTCATGCAGATACTGCATGCCCTTTGCAGTCCCATTAATGATATTTGCTCTTGTCTTCCAGTCTAATAGCTTGCATTTTGTTGCATCTGTCTTCATAAAAGCAGTGTTAGCCATTAAAATACAGAAAAGGTATGACTTGGAAATGTGAGGAAAGGGGCTAACCAAAAAGAAAAGCGTCCAAGCTAGTGTTGGCCATGTACTCATAGACAAGAAGCTTTTCATCTTTCTCTAGGCAGTATCCCAAAAGCCTCACAAGATTTTTGTGTTGAAGTTTAATGATTAACTTCACTTCATTCTCGAACTCTTGAACACCTTGATTCGATGTCATTGAAAGCCTTTTGACAGCTACTCGTCTCCCATTATGCATTATTCCCTGGCAGCATTGATGTGAATTAACCGCGTCAACCAAAGAAATTTGTCATAAAATTCAGAAGTGTATTGTTATATGATCAATTTTCCGTTTAAAACCTTGTAAACAGGACCAAAACCTCCTTCTCCCAGCTTATTGGCATCAGAGAAATGGTTTGTTGCAGCCTGTATTTCAGCTAAACTAAAGTCATGCATCTCCCCACTGTGTTCTTCATCTGCTTTGTTTATACCTGCTGCCTCCACAATGTGATCTTGATTTGGGCCTTGAGAATTTCTCAACGGAATTTCTTCATTTGTTCCTCCCCCTGTATGAAAAATTAGCAACACCATAGATCCAACTTGCAAAAGCCTTTTTTTTTAAAAAGAAAAAAAATTCAAATTTCAACCATCTAGGAAAAATGAAAAAAAAGAAAAGAAGAAAAAAAGAGAACTATTTGTATCAACCTTTCAGTCTTTTCTTCCTGCAGGTTGAAAAACACAAAAAACCAGCGAGAATGAATATAAAGACAGCTGCCAATGATGATACCGAGATGATCACAATCTTCTTTGTGTTTTTTCTCCCATTCCCTGCTCCTACATATATTACTCCAAACAATCACAATATTTCTTTTAAAAGAGTCTAGTTTGGAAACTTCATATGACCATTTAAAATTTGTCCCAAATTAGTACATACCTCCATTGGGAATGGGACCTGGCTGTGGTGGTGGTTTCAGCGCAAAGAAAGGGTATTGTTCATATCTTGCAAAGCAACTCGGGGCAAAGTAACGCCACCCTGCGCGCGACACGCAACATGTAGTCCTCATTTGATTTGAAATATTCTTCAAACAAGAGTAACATGAACTACCATTGAGATCTTGGCTGCACTGTGTTAGGACATATATCTGCTGCGATGCATCACCAGCGGCGTCAAATAGATTTTCTGAGTTCTGAGCTCGCTCAATCGAATCATCTAGCCAACGAAGCACCTCAGAGTTCTCTTCCGATGAATTAATGTTGTTTACACTACACCAACATCTGTGTGTACTAAAACTTATTACACCAAAGAAGTTGGTAGAGGAGTAGCGTAGCAGGCAGTCATCATACCAGATGACTGCCCCTAGAGAAGAATTGCAATTTTGGGGCAGAAATTGAGTAACATTATTGACACAGGTTTGGCAAGTGCCTCTATCAACATCACCTCTGCAGAGAAACAGGCCATAGATTTGATTCAAAGAACCATTGTAGAAGAGGTCATCGGAAGATTTGGAGTCCAAAGAATCCATCAGGTTTTCAACTAATTTTTGATAACTGGAGTCGGGACGATATTCCTCTAAACATTCGTGAGAACGAAAGTAAAACTGGCAAGTGATGTATCCGAAATTGAACATAAAGATTGGGATCAAAAACAGAAGAAAAGGTTTAAATTTCTGAAGCAGAGAGATCGTCATTTCAGGGATACAATGGAAACGATGCCGATGATACTGAAGATATGAATCACCGGGGTATTTGTTCTTTTGTACTCTGGAAATTGAGAAGCTTAAGACGAAGATGAAATGAGTGTTTGGCACAGCTTGTGATTTTACAATTGAGAAGGACTTCGTAACAGCTCCACCAAATTATTTAGGGCATATTTGGTGCAGCTCCTAGGAGCTTCAGATTTTGCACACTATTTATGTCTCATGAATTTAAATTTCTCTCTTAAAAATTTACACTTTTAAATATTTTTTTAATCTTAAAAAGCTCTTAAACAGTAAAAGCTCAAAAGTTTCAAATCCAAACTTTTCATAAACTTTCT